TTTACTGATTTGAAAACAGTTCTTCCGGGCATACTTTATCTATATGCACTATACAGCGGTCACAAGTCAAGAAAAATAAAAAAATAAGTCGCTAGAAAACTCCGATTTTTTTAGCTTGTTCCATGTTTTTTTTCCGCAGCTGTAACACCCCTGCTACCATTTTAGACCAAGTATCGAATTTTAGTGCCTTGCGGCGAGCCCAGTAACCAATTCGCTTTCCACTGAAGCTATTGGTGTGCAGCGAAAGTCAGCAACTTTCAGGAAGCTGAGGGAACTCCCTGAATAACTGACTTCGCACGATATCGTGTTCTTCCCCTCTCGGGGTGGAAAAAAGGATTCGACGGCCCTCGTACGTATTCGCCCATCCGTTTCTGCATTAATGGCATGGTCCCATCAAAAGGTGTGTAATTTGACCGCATTCTTCAATGGTGACCGAATAGACTCCTGCTCATTACTGACGGATTCTGTGTCCTGTAAAGAGCAACTTGACTTCATTTTTCTTCGTAAATTCTTGATGACGTCAGCCAGACAGTTAGATCACCAGGTGGTCGAAATAGTAATTTGTGTGGAGGACAACATGACTCATGTCTGACCTTCTTTGCAATTACTCAGTACCACTAAAGTAAAATCAGCGGTACCACTCTGACCGCGAAAAAAGGACTCCTGGCACATTGTATAGCAAATCTCTTCAGCAAACCCGTGGAACCAGAGAGCTCATGTGGGAAATGACGTCGAGGTTTATTTTTCTTCGCCTAAATCGGCTGCAAATAAAAACTAGCGTGATGAAAAATGAGATAACGGTCAGGGTACGCCCCCGCGATGATGAAAATTCACTTCATCTTGACCCCACCCTTCTCTCCGAAAAACCCGTTGATGTACGGGAGGGAAGGTCCATCTATCATCAATCATCAGGAATAGTGAAATTGCCGTGAATACGAAATAGGACCCAGTTTTGAGCAAACAAATGTTCCACTCCTACGGTGAGTTCCCCTGTGTCCTGATCAAGATGAAGAAAAGGAGCAGTACTAGGGTCAGAGGTGCTGAATCACCAAATGAGCGAGATTGAATCCAACATATGTCAATGAAGAATTTAAGAACGGAACATCCTTGTTGTGGAAACCACAATGTGGATGGCATTCGGCCCCTCGGGATCATGTATGGTCTCTGGTCTCGGGAAAGAATTTTCTATCGCTGATTTTCCCGTTTCACGCGCTGTATACCTCTTGGCCCGTCCACCTCTCTCGTTCTTACCCCACCCCCCCCCCTCGACGGCGAAATTTCGGTTAAAGGTTCGCGAAGAAGAAAATTCGGAAGGGGGGGGGGAGTGGGGCGTAGTCTGCGAAAGTTTTCACAATTCGTTTATGTGCCCTGCTTACGATGAAAGCCAATGCAATCTGGTTGCCGTCTCGTCCAATTAAGCCACTGTATCGAGTATTTGTGAAAATTAAAGGCTTTCTGACGTCATTATGAATCCGTAAATGACGAAGGCTAAATCATTTCTTTGTACTTTACCAAAATTAGATGAATTCTGTCATTAACGAAGAGCAATATCTATTATTAGAAATATGCGATCAAAATTTGAGTCCTTATGAGGGGTACATATCGCTAGTTCGCTCAGGTGGAAGTCACTAGGAGTCACATTTGCCCCCTCCCCCCATTAAGTCCAGAGCCGGTCACCTGCGCAACACTTGCACCCAGGCCCAATCTATTCAACTTGGTACTTGCTGCGTCATATCAAGTCATTCAACTAGGAAGTACTCTGCCAGCTGTTTCTCGGGAATAACAATGTATAGCTGATATAGTCACAATCAATCTGGGCGGTGTCAGGAGGGGTGGAATGAGCCCGGCTTCGGTTGCCTTTTCTCACCAATGGTGATCGGTTAGTGGTCGAATCAGGGTCAAAACACCAGTAGCGAAAACGACGCGGGCAGGCTCATTAAATGTTCTTGAACACCGCCCCTAATGATTGCGACGATACTAACTGCGCAACCCGTTGGGTGAGACCCTGCAAACCCTGCATAAACTGATGAACAAACATGTGCAGGTGCTGCCGAATCCTTGTGCCTACTCGAACACAGGGATCACGAGGTATATTATTGCAATTCAAAAAAAATCTATTTAAAGGTGCCTATTCAATACCACACGACTAATGCTCTACTGGGAAGGAAATTGATTTAAGCGCTCGCTATCAAACGTCTATCCCTTGAGATTAGAATAGTACCGGCCTGTGAAGGTATTAAGTCTAACACCTTAGCAGTAGCGATAGGGAAGCCCTTCCAATTGTTATGCATTTGTACCAACATTTAATTGCTTTGGGGGGTTCTTATTTACGCAGTCTGTGTGTTGTAAACAACTCACATCATAGTTGTACGAATCCCATCAAATGAGGAGCATCGTATTTGGACCTCTAAGGAAGAGGGTATCGTATTTGAAGTTGAGAAAGTTCCTTCGAAAGTGGATTTTTCGCATTTGAGGCGGACAATGTATCTCTTCCCCGAGGCAGCAAAGCTTTGGGAAAGTATAGATAGCGGCGAATAGTGGTCCGGTAGTACAGTGAGTTTTGTGGAACGGCAGAAAGCGGGGGGCGGGCTTCAATGATATCTCAGGCAGCCATACCGACTCTGCCATTTCACACATCCCTATAGCGTACTGTTGTAAATTCATTGTTAACAATTGTTGTGTCGGGAATTAACCAATTTATAGTTTCGAGATTTTTCGAGTCGTACTTTTGTTCAGTTTACTGGTCACTAAGATTTGTGGAACCACGTCTCGAAAATTTCGTATCTTTGGAGTGTAAAAACCACCTGAAATTACGAAGTTTTCATATAATGTTCAAAATTTACGAAAACATTTTCCGTATGAACAGGATAATAGACAGGCAAAAATAACACTTTAGATAATACAATAAATTTGACGTCATTTAGGTTAGCCGTAATGGACGAGGTGCATATTGATCGGTGCACAGGTGAAAAGAAATTGCAGACTTTACGCATTCACTTCCAGAGCTACTCTTCTGACTTTAAACAGTACTGTAGAGAAGAAGCCTTTTCCCTTTCCTAACTACACTTTTAGGTGGAACAGAAACCCCTGAGACACAGTGAGCAACATTTCACGCTGAGTATTCTTTCAGTACTTTCTGCTATTACCCTTTTCAAACTCGTCTGCTGCAACATTCAAGACTGTCCTATAGCAGTCAGGGCCGAAACCTTGCAAAAGGGTCTTTAATCTCTTTGAGAAAAGTGCGAGATGTCACAGAGCTTTCCGCTGAACCTAATTTATGGCTATTCCTGCAGAATTCCAGTCTCAGTTGGTCAGAGCGTATAGGTATTTGGTTGGTCGGGAAGTGATAGTTTCTTGAGGGTTCACAAATTAAAATTAAAATTCTTCCCACTATGTGAAGCTCAGTTCCCCGCTTTTGTCGAACGTAAGGGCCTAAAGCGATGGCTGTTGAGACCGTACTCGAAAGTTCTCGACGGCTGTTGAGACCGTACTCGAAAGTTCTGCGGAGGTTTTCACGCACCTGAACAATTCGCGCAACCTACCTTCTACCGCCCTACAAAATCCTCCCAACTCTTTATCATTTTTCTCAAAGGAGGTGTACAGGGCACGAAATGGTCAAATTGAAAATCAAAAAAATTCCTTCCATTTCTCATGAATGTTTCGACTCTTATTACCATTTGCCCTTTATTGCCCCGATTTTCCGAAATCAGGCCAGATTCGACCCGAATTTTTCTGCAAAGTCAGATTCGGTTAAAAATTTGCTTCAGGGGGTAGTTCGACCTTTTGAAAACGATTATCGCATTCGCTTGGCCTGAAACCGCTTGGCGCCCGCGTTCACAGACTCCTGTGCTAAAATACCCCCATTGAAGGCAAGTGACACGATAGATCCCTGAGACGTGTAGGACTAATACTCCTAGCAAGACAGAATTCGGCGCCCTTGAGCAGGTCTGCGTGGCGCCTTTCAAAGGAAGGTAATCTCTTAGCGCCCTATCAAGCGCCTACCTCTGGAGACCGACTTCCACGTAAATCGAAGTTTTGACGCGAATTTTGAAAATTGGGGCAGAAAGGAGTGAATAGTACCGATCTTTGTCAAGGCCAGACATCCCTCCCCACCAGCCAAGTACAACACATTCAAAAACGGACTGGTTCACAGAATGTGAGGTGGCTGTACAATAACTTGTGAGGCCAGCTAATAAACAACTCAGTGACAAATCTGGTTTCAACTAACCGTCTCCGGAGGGTAGAATGCTTGGTTGACATGGGCAGCCCTAATCCGGGATCGGACCTAAGGACCGCGCGCGTGGTAAGCAGCTTATCACTACAACGTTTAATCCTTGAGGTATGGCAACAAAATCTATGGCCTGGGTGCGCAGCAGCTTCGCCATTCAGCTCTTCCAGGACATTCTTCGCGGAGATGGCTGTATAGTCTACTTTCAGTAGTTTATCATTTCCCATGGCAGAAAGCAGGAATCCTTGTATAGCCCATGTAA